CAGCCACTCGTCTCCGGACCACCACATGCACTGTTCGAATTTTTCTAGATATTCCTTGGAGCGAAAGTCAGAAACGCAAACAAAATCCAGATGACTTCCGTAAACAACAAAAAGCAAAATCTATCCTTGTTAACGGTGTCCGCAAGCTCCAGACATTAACAAAGCTAGAAGCCAAAGCGCATGACTTGGATGAATAGCGTTTTATTCGTGAAGTGCTCTCACTAGAAAATGTTATTGCTCTTTCTACATCAAGATTCTCGCTATCACCTAAATAAAAGGGTATGGTCCCCGAGTAAAAACGTGTCACCGCACTCCGAACTGATAGCAGAACATGTGTTCAAAATGTGATAAAATGCGTAAAATGCTGCCATCCAAAATACGTATAAAGGCGATAGGCACCTGGCCACAGATACACAATGTGACACTGAGCAAACAACTTAACAATGCAATTCTGTCACGGTGTAGCTCAGAACGGAGACAATGTCAAAACACACCGACAGATGAAAGAGGACAGGATGGTTTCCTTGTTGGCGCTGAGAGCTCTACACAACAACCTAAAGTGGCCCTAGGTTCTGCTTCACCGGTCATACAAAAAACGACCGGAAGCCGACGCCGCAAGGGTCGGCATAGACCCTCACCGGATAGCAGCATGTAGTAACATGCTTCTGACCACCGATGGCTTCACCTGCTTATATATCAATTCACAAGATCTTCTCATCAAGCTAATCGAACTTCGAATTCGTCAGGTATTTGTGCCTTGGGGTTATAGTCACCGAAAGATGGCTGAAGACGGAGATCACGGATGCTGAGATTGCACTATCTGGCATGGCTACCATATGAAACGATGGACCTAGCAGAGATGTGGGAGTACTCCTGTATTATCGATCCGACCCACATCTTGATATAATTGAGGACCCATAAACGAAAGTCGTCGATTCTCTTTGGCGTCCTATGCACCTAAGACGTTGTGGTGTGTGTTTACTAGCAATAGTTTACCGCCCTCCAATGTCCACCTAGGAAATGAGCCAATGCCTACCTTCTGCGATGAAACGAGTTCTGGCACGACCATGCAGTCAGATCCTTCTAATGGGGGACTACAATCACAAAGCGAACAATATATGGCTTATTTGCAAAAGGTGCTCGCCGATATACCTCTGTACAACCACCTCACCTCTCACACGTTATTCCGTATGGGTGACACACCCTCTGTTTTCGACTTTGTGCTCTCCAACGCCGAACTAATGATCGAAAAGGCAATCAAAAATTCACCACTGGGCCGTGGTGATCACGCGAAGTTACTCTTTCGATACATTTGTTCCTCGGAGTACATCAGTGAGAACAACCTGGAAACCTATGTCGTTACACATTACGATAAACTGTCCAATCTCCTTCAAGAGACCGACTGGTGCTTCTTGACCAAGAGGCCGCCCGATGTCGCCTGGGTTTTGTTCGTCACACATTTCACTGAGCTAGTTGCAGTATGTCAGATTACAAGGTCATTCACCCAAAGCAAATGAATTGGTTCCTGAGGTGGGGTGCTAGAAAATGCATGGCCTTAAGGGAATCAACCTGGCGGGCTTACAAAGTCTGTCCAAGTAACCTAACCTAGGGTAATTGCACAACTCAACGCCACCACTGCGTCAAGTTGATCCGCGAAGACAAACTCCAGCAACAAGAGAACTTAGCGTCAAAATTCAGTACAACTTCCAAGCTCCTGCATAAACACGTCAACATGCCCTGTAGAGTGCAGCCTGTGATTTTGGTTTTAGGTGCAACAGATGGTTTTGCGCAAACCGCACAAGATGCAGTCAACGTGCTTCGCCAACACTTCATTCATGATTTCCGAAGTGAATCATCAATTAATGCGCTTTCGACATAGCTTCCATCGCCACCAGGTTTAAACCACTTATCATTCACGACAGCCAATGTGGTGAAAACGCTAATGTCTTTGCGGGTGCACAGCTCACCTGGCGTGGACGGCATCAAACCGAAGGCCTTGAAGACAGCGGCCATGAGCCTTGAGGAAATATTAGCTCGGTTCTTTCAACGTTGCCTCAAAAAATACAGGTTCCGACAATGTGGAAACATGGACTAGTTACTCCTATTTACAAACATGCTAATCGTTCGGAGCCCTCGAACTGCAGTCCAATCACTCTCCTCCCAATTTTATCCAAATTAATGGAACAAATAATTGTACAGATGCTAATGGGATATCTTAAGAGCAACAATATCCTAGTGTCACAGCAACACGGATTCCGCCGTAATCGATCCTGCACTATAAACTTGCTACTAGCCCGAGCAATTTGGACAGAGTCAGCAGACGCCAGCTTGGGAGACGACGTTGTCTACCTAGACTTATCTAAAGCGTTCGATCATTTGGACCATCGCATTCTGATTTTAAAATCTTCGAAGCTATGGAATCGGTTACCCCATACTCGGTTGCATCGGCATCTTCTCGCTCGACGTCAGCTGAGTGTGAGTGTATGCAGCTCCATTTCCGACCTAATTGTCTTCCAGTGTGGTGAACCTCAGAGATCGGAACTGGGACCACATTTATTCCTAACGTTTATAAACGATGTTGCCAGTGTAGTGCAGTCAAATTGCTTATTATTTGCAGTTAGTGTCAAAATTTGTCACGATATCTGGAAATCGGATGATCACATGGCACTGCAGAGCGATCTCGGCAGGGCTTATGCTTGGTCATCTGATAACAGTCTCCAGCTCAACGTGACCAAGTGCAAAGTCCGAAGCACAAGTCATCCGCTTATCTATGAATATCGGCTTGGGCACCAGCAGTTAAAACATGCTTCCCATATAGACGACCTGGGGGTGATCGTGCATTATCAACTTGGTTTCTCAAAACAAGCCGTAAATGCATCGAAAAGAGCCAGTCAACATCTCGGAATCTTGTGGATGGCATTCCGGAATTTCGAGCCATCAATCTTTCCGCAAATGCTGAACGCCTACCGGTGAGTGCACATGGAATATGCGATCCAGGCCTAGCGTCGCTGGCGCAGGCGCGACGTCGATGCACTTAAAACTCCGCAACTTAGAGCAACCAAACCAGTTAGAGGATTGCTTTATCTCTCCTACCAACGCATACCGCAGTCGCTGCGATTGTACACTGGTGAATATGGACGCCAGCAAAATCTAATCATGATTAACTTATTACTGAAGAAATCCAACTCATCCACGTTGCAATCTCTTGCAGCTGAGCCAAAATACCAATCTGAGAGACCATCAGCTCAAACGCGCTACGTGCTACGGTTGAATTTATTTTCGATTAAAATTCTTCTCCCTCCGTGTGTCCCTTGCTTAGGTTGCCCTTACGGCTCCCTTCTCATTGCCCCATACATTAATTCTATTCAAATAACCCTTGACGAAAAGCTTTCCAACTTGTATTACTTGCTATAGTCCGTTCCATTTGTAGGACGAAAGAATGCAAACCTAACCATGGGCTTAACGGTGATCTCCGCAACGTGGCGGTGAGTAAACTTGCAGAAGTGTCATGTGAATAGCCTGGATGTGTCTAAACTGGATTAACATACATCTGTCAAATGAAGAAACAAACGAGTGCGCGGTGTTGTTTACTTTTTCATTTCTCTCGCACTTACTGAACTAGCACAGCTCTTTATACTGTGTTGTGTGTGCACATCACATTCCCACTTCAAACTATTATTATGTGGTAGTGTACTTAATCGGTAGACGCTTAAAATAACGGTTTACTTATTCGATGATCCTTTAAATTTTAAAATTTCATCTAACCTTCCTGCGGGACTTTTCAAGCACATGCTTTTTTATCCGTGATAAAATAGTGTTCACAGTTCATTTTACGTAAAAGAAGAAAACGGATAAAACACGCAGTAGTTGCTTGCCAGATGAGCTACCCACAGCGGATAGGCATCGTTGCCGAAAGCTACCAGCCAGCTACTAGGAAAATAATTATTATGTAAAATTGCGATATGCTGTGAACTGAGATCGTGCTTGGAGAAGGAGGAGTCTACGAAGGATGGGGAGGGACAAAGAAGTTTCCCAGGCACATTTGCAGTTTGTTTGGATGAAATGAGTAAGCCAGTTTGACCTCATCTGCAAACGGAAATGGGTGTCCATGTTTGATCGGGTCACATATATTGTTTATGTATATTAGTAAAAGTATTGGTCCGATCAAACTTCCCTGGAAAAAGCCGCTGGTTATTTGTGTCGGTGTAGAATATTCCTGACTGATTATAACTACTTGAGTTCGACGGTTTAGATATGTGTCGAACCAGTTAAGCAGATGATTTCCAATTCCATGTGACTCTAGAGCGAACAACGGTGGCTTGTGCGGCACGCTTTCGAAAGCCTATTGCATGTCTTCCAGAATTATAATAATTTTCATTCCTCTGTCCATCACAGTTGTGACGTGATCGCGAAATTGTAGCTGGCAGGTAACGCAGGAGTGTTTTGAGAGAAAGCCGTGCTGTGAGGTGTTGATCAGATCTAGTCTTGTAAGATATGGAATAATGTTCTTCTTGGTTATTCGCTCTAATGCTTGGGTAGCAGCAGAGGTGTGATTTATTGAGCGGTAGCATATCACTTGATTTCTCGGTCAACCCTTGTGCTTAGGCATTATAATGGATTGCTTCCATTGAGTTGGAAAGCAACCGGTAGTAAGTGAAATCGTGAAGATGTTTAATAACAATTGAGCGAGGTTTCTTACTCCGAGTTTTATAACAGTTAGGAAGATGCATTTTAGACTTGAACGAGTTGATGGTTTTATGGACGCGATGGCACATTGCACCTCTCATAACGTCACGTGGATATTGCAGTATAGCTCGGTCGTTATTTTTGGAAGTGGATGATGAGACGGCTGAATGTTGGGGACAAACCAGGAGTCAAAAATTTAGTTGATAGCCTCGCACATGCAGGAGATGTTGCGCGTTATTGAACTGTCGTCTAGTGCTAACGTTTCAATTTCCTAAAGTGGTTTAGGTTTCCTTGTTTAGAGTAGTTTCATTAATTTACGTACTTTCTCTAGATTGACTCACAGTCCTGTGTGTATTCTCTCTTTTCTCCTCCTCCCGGGGCGGGCCCCCCCCCCCCCCCCCCCCCCCCCCCCCCCCCCCCCCCCCCCCCCCCCCCCCCCCCCCCCCCCCCCCCCCCCCCCCCCCCCCCCCGGGTGGTGGTGTAAAGAGAGAATACACACAGGACTGTGAGTCAATCTAGAGAAAGTACGTAAATTAATGAAACTACTCTAAACAAGGAAACCTAAATCACTTCAGGAAATTGAAACGTTAGCTCTAGACGACTGTTCAATAACGCGCAACATCTCCTGCATATGCGAGGCTATCAACTAAAGTTTTGACTCCTGGTTTGTCCCCAACATTCAGCCGTCTCATCATCAAATTCCAAAAATAACGACCGAGCTATACTGCAATATCCACGTGATGTTATGAGAGGTGCAATGTGCCATCGCGTCCATAAAACCATCAACTCGTTTAGGTCTAAAATGCATCTTCCTAACTGTTATAAAACTCGGAGTAAGAAACCTCGCTCAATTTTTATTAAACATCTTCACGATTTCACTTACTACCGGTTGCTTTCCTACTCAATAGAAGCAATCCATTATAATGCCTAAGCACAAAGGTTGTCCGAGAAATCTAGTGATATACTACTGCTCATTAAATCACACCTCTGCTGCTACCAAAGCATTAGAGCGAATAACTAAGAAGAACATTATTCCATATCTTAAAAGACTAGATCTGATCAACACCTCACAGCACGGCTTTCTCTCAGAACGCTCCTGCGTTACCTGCCAGCTACAATTCCTCGATCGCGTCACAACTATGATTGACAGAGGAATGACAATTATTATAATTCTGTGGGACATGCAATAGGCGTTCGACCGCATGCCGCACACGCCACTGCTGTTCGCTCTAGAGTCATATAGAATTGGAAATCGTCTGCTTAACTGGTTCGACACATATCTAAACCGTCGAACTCAAGTAGTTATGTTCGGTCAGGAATATTCTACACCGAAACAAATAACTAGCGGCGTCTTCCAGGGAAGTTTGCTCGGACCAATACTTTTACTAATTACATAGACAATATATGTGACCCGATCAAATATGGACACCCATTTCTTTTTGTAGATGAGTCAAACTGGCTTACTCATTTCATCCAAACAAACTGCAAATGTGCCTTGGAAACATCTTTTTTTTCCCGTCCCCATCCTTTTTTCTTTCCCAAGAATCCTTCTCCAAACACGATCGTAATTCAAAGCATAATCGCAATTTTTACATACTAATTATTTTCCCCTAGGCAGCTGGCTGGTAGCTTTCGGCAACGATGCCTATCCGCTGTGGGTAGCTTATCTGGCAAGCAACTACTGCGTGTTTTATCTGTTTTCTTCTTTTACATAAAATGAACTGTGAACACTATATAATCACGGATAAAAAAGCATGTGCTTGACAAGTCCCGCAGGAAGGTTAGATGAAATTTTAAAATTTAAAGGATCATCGAATAAGTAAACCGTTATTTTAAGCGTCTACCGATTAAGTACACTATCACATAATAATAGTTTGATGTGGGAATGTGATGTGCACACACAACACAGTATAAAGAGCTGTGCTAGTTTAGCAAGTGCGAGAGAAATGAAAAAGTAAAAAATACCGCGCACTCGTTTGTTTCTTTATTTGACAGATGTATGTTTATCCAGTTTAGACACATCCAGGCTATTCACATGACACTGCTGCAAGTTTACTCACCGCCACGTTGCGGATATCACCGTTAAGCCCAGGGTTATTTTTGCATACTTTCGTCCTCCAAATGGAACGGACTATAGCAAGTAATACAAGTTGGAAAGCTTTTCGTCAAGGGTTATTTGAATAGAATTAATGTATGGGGCAATGAGAACGTGAGCCGTAAGGGCAACCTAAGCACGGGACACATAGAGGGAGAAGACTTTTCGTCGAAAAGCAATTCAACCGTAGTGCGTAGCCCGTTTGAGCTGATGGTCTCTCAGCTTGGTATTTTGGCTCAGCTGCAACAGACTGCAACGTGGATGAGTTGGATTTCTTCAGTAATAAGTTAATCATGATTAGATTTTGCTGGCGTCTATATTCACCAGTGTACAATCGCAGCGACTGCGGTATGCGTTGGTAGGAGAGATAAAGCAATCCTCTAACTGGTTTGGTTGCTCTAAGTTGTGGAGTTTTAAGTGCATCGACGTCGCGCCTGCGCCAGCGACGCTAGGCCTGGATCGCATATTCCATGTGCAATCACCGGTAGGCGTTCAGCATTTGCGGACTGATTGATGGCTCGAAATACCGGAATGCCATCCACAAGATTCCGAGATGTTGACTGGCTCTTTTCAATGCATTTACGGCTTGTTTTGAGAAAGCAAGTTGATAATGCACGATCACCGCTGGTCGTCTACATGGGAAGCATGTTTTAACTGCTGGTGCCCAAGCCGAAATTCATAGAAAAGCGGATGACTTGTGCTTCGGACTTTGCAATTGGTCACGTTGAGCTGGAGACTGTTATCAGATGACCAAGCATAAGCCCTGCCGAGATCGCTCTGCAGTGACATGTGATCATCCGGTTTCCAGATATCGTGACAAATGTTGACACTAACTGCAAATAATAAGCAATTTGACTGCACTACACTGGCAACATCGTTTATAAACGTTAGGAATAAATGTGGTCCCAGTTCCGATCTCTGAGGTTCACCACACTGGACGACAATTAGGTCGGAAATGGAGCTGCATACACTAACACTCAGCGGACGTCGAGCGAGAAGATGTCGATGCAACCGAGTGTATGGTAACCGATTCCATAGCTTCGAAGATTTTAAAATCAGAATGCGATGGTCCAAATGATCGTACGCTTTAGATAATTCTAGGTAGACAACGTCGTCTCCCAAGCTGGCGTCTGCTGACTCTGTCCAAATTGCTCGGGCTAGTAGCAAGTTTATAGTGCAGGATCGATTACGGCGGAATCCGTGTTGCTTTGACAGTAGGATATTGTTGCCCTCAAGATATCCCAATAGCATCTGTACAACTATTTGTTCCATTAATTTGGGTAAAATTGGGAGGAGAGTGATTGGACTGCAGTTCGAGGGTGCCGAACGATTAGCTTGTTTGTAAATAGGAGTAACTAGTCCATGTTTCCACATTGTCGGAACCTGTATTTTTTGAAGCAACGTTGAAAGAACGGAGCTAATATTTCCGCAAGGCTCATGGCCGCTGTCTTCAAGGCATTCGGTTTGATGTCGTCCACGCCAGGTGAGCTGTGCACCTGCAAAACATTAGGGTTTTCATCATATTGGCTGCCGTGAAAGATACCTGGTTTAAACCTGGTGGCGATGGAACCTATGTCGAAAGCGGAGTAATTGATGATTCACTTCAGAAATTATGAATGAAGTGTTGGCGAAGCACGTTGACTGCATCTTGTGCGGTTTGCGCAAAACCATCTGTTGCACCTAAAACCAAAATCCCGCGCTGCACTCTACGGGGTTTGTTGACGTGTTTATGCAGGAGCTTGGGAGTTGTACTGAATTTTGACGCTAAATTCTCTTGTTGCTGGAGTTTGTCTTCGCGGATCAACTTGACGCAGTGATGTGGTTGAGTTGTGATATCACCCTAGGTCAGGTTACTTGGACAGGCTTTGTAAGCGCGCCAGGTTGAATCACTTAAGGCCATGCATTTTCTTGCAAGCCACCTCAGGAACGAATTCATTTGCTTTGGGCGAATGACCTTGTGATCTGACATACTGCAACTAGCTCAGTGAAATGTGTGACGAACAAAACCCAGGCGATATCGGGCGGCCTCTTTGTCAAGAAGCACCAGTCGGTCTCTTGAAGGAGATTGGACAGTTTATCGTAATGTGTAACGACATAGTTTTCCAGGTTGTTCTCGCTGATGCACTCCGAGGAACAAATGTAACGAAAGAGCAACTTGGCGTGATCACCACGGCCCAGCGGTGAATTTGTGGTTGCCGTGGCAATCATTAGTTCCGCGTTG